CTAATAAATATTTCAGCGTTATGTGGATCATACACTGACAGCGTACCTCAACAGACTTACACACATAAAAACATTTAACAACAAGGACATACAAACTTACAAACAGTAAACACACATTTAACCTACCAATATAATAATTTCAGACAGGCATCAATTATTCTACAATACTGATTCCAGTCGAAAATCAATAATTCTCCAAAGAACGAAACTGACAACTATCAACTTTCAAACTTTAAAAATTCTACAGATTTGAAAATTTTAAATGATACAATCTTCTCACCAGACCATACTGAATTGGATTGAACTTCTTAATTGTTGACAAATTTGTGCAGGTCTAATATTGGAAGGGCTAACTTACTAAAAAGTGGCAGTAATTATCAAATGTTTATGCTTGTTGTATACTCAGTTTATTTTCAGGTATGCGATACATCAACTTCAGTATACAATAAATCAGATCAATACAATGTTTTGGAGATTGAAACAGAAAGAGGATCCGCCAAAAAAGTTCAAAATATCGAAGGTAAATTCAACAAATTAAGCAATATAATAGAATTACATGTAACATGGCAAAACACAGTCCTTAGGGGGCCTTTTTCAAAATCATGGATCTTGTACTGGCATCCTTCAGTACAAACTTAAAGTAAACATTTGTCAAACATTTATTTAATAAGTTACATTGGACTGTACTAAAAATCTATTGAATTATGAATTTGGAGTTGAATCTGGTTCTATCACAATCTTGTTAGGATATCCTAATCGAATCATAGACTAATAATCATTTAACTAGATTCTTAGAATGCAAAATAATGAGTTAGAATATACGTGTATTGTAGTGTACTTTATTTGATAACATGGTTGACAAGGAAGGGAACTTGACAGATTAACTACCTGATATCCACATTAGACAGATTAGATAAAAAGTGACAATTCTCACAGGATTTACTCAACAAATGGGGTGACACCAAATATTCTAAAGATAAGCATAATGATAGGCCAGGACTACGTAAGTTGCTTGCATGATTTGATTTGAAAACCGTATACTTTGTGTACTGTTTACCATATATGTTATTATCAAAGCTTTCCTAATAATAAAATATGAAGTGATTACATACATGAACATTGCTTTTCCATAATTGTTTCATGCATTTACGATCATATTCAGCTGTTCCAGCGCCAAAGCCTTTTGAGTACTTCATACCTGGAGAAGGATTCATTTCAACGTACAAAAAGAATAGAAATAAGAAGCAGCACGAAAATTTTTATGAAGATGAACTCAAAAGGTTCAGACATCCAAATAAAAAAGAATTGCACATCAACAAATATGGCGGACTTCGACCACTGTAAGTAATTTAATTTATATATTATATTACATATTCAATATTATAGTGATAAGTCTCAAAACTTGTCCACGTTTTTACCTACAACCTAACCATGAGCATTGTATTCATGGTGATTGCAACTTCGTGTACTATCTTATCTATCTAAGATAAGATACTACGTGAAAAAATGGTTTCACATAACTGTTGACTTGGGGAACACCAGGCTATAATGTACCTTACAAGACATATTTATGTGGATCATAATTCTGGGGATCGGAATTATGGGGGAACGAAAATATGGGGATTTTTTTCAGAAATCCCCAAATTTCGTACCCCAAATTAAATTGTCGCATTTTCACGCTAAATTATTTCAGAGAAATCAAAATCAGTTTTTGATGGAATTTTAAAAAATCGTGAATAACTAAATTAATTAAAAATCATTCTCTTCGTTTAAATCGTCTTCGTCGTCGTCTCTTTCACCTTGAGTCTGCTCACCGGTGTACTTAATGTTTTTCTAGTGTGAAACTAGTCGTTGTTATAGAAGTCTATATAAAATTATATGTGAGATAATTTTGAATCTGACGCACGTTTTTCACGTAACACTGAAAAACCAGTATTTTCTATTCAGTCATTTTTATACTAAGTAACTTTCTATATACCTGAGAAATGCGTATCCTTGTCTCACAAAACACGTAAAACAACTTATTTGACAAATTCACCTCAAATTAGCCCTATTTAAGCCAATTACATAAAAATTAATGTTTGGGATTTTGAAATGGCGGCCACAATTTTGGTAGTACGAAAATTTTTTCCAAAAATCCCCAAATTTCGTACCATATAAATATGTCTCGTAAGATAACATTATAATAATGTTCATAAACACATATTCACATAGCCATGTGTCTACGCGTACTGCGTGACGCGCTTGTTTCAAGCGAGAGGGCTCTGGTTAGAGCAAAAACACATATATAAGAATAAATATTCGGCGGAATAACAGGCTGAGCACCGTCCGATAAGTAATTTTAAAATGCATCAGAAAGTAATCGGAAATGAATTAAAACATTATACTTTATGGAGTTTGATAATAAGCTGTAAATAAAAAGCAGCGGCTTTTCTAATAACAAAGATAAAAGTTATACAACGTGTAGTTGTAGCGCAATGCACTACTGGGTCCGGTCGCGCGTTGTCATACGTTGTATGACCCGCCGCGCGCACGAAGTGCGCGGCTCCCCCTGTATCGTCGAAGACGATACAGGTGAAGCGACCGTGGGGGTCACCACGTGATACAAGGCTTCTCCTGGCTAGATCGGCGAAATGCGCTACTGTGCCGCGCCGAGCGGCCATGAATTGACATCGTCAATTAACACAATTGCAATTGTTTAATTTGACGAATGACGCCGCGCGCGCCGATTTGCTCTATCCAGAGCCCTTGCGCTTGCAATAGCGCGCGCCCGCCTCACGGCTTGTGAAACAAGCGCGCCCGCAGTGGCGCGAAAGCACATGGTTAGGTGAACGCGCCGATCATTTGAACGTCCGTCGACGGTTTTTGGAACGCTACATGTACATATGTTACCTTGCTCTATCCAGAGCCCTTGCTCTATCCAGAGCCCTTGCGCTTGCAGTAGCGCGCGCCCGCCTCACAGCGGTAAAAAGACCTTGTCACTTGTCCTCCGTTTCCCGCTCATTGGACCAGGTGAGCTTGCATGCTTAGCTTGTGAATGTAGGTGTAAGTACAGCTGTACTGTAGTTTATACCTAATTAACCCCTATATACTGTCACTATGCACTATAGAAACCTGAAAAGTGGTTACTGCATACTGGAGGGAGAAGTGCCAAGACTACCTGCGCTACATAGACGCTAGGTTGTCAGGACTACGCGCGCGCGCACGAACCTTCCCATCGGGGTTCGTGGATAGGTGCTTTTCTTGACTTGTGAAACAATGAACAAGCGCGCCCAAAGTTGCGCGAAAGCACATGGTTAGGTGCATATATATTACCCGTTATATTAGTATTAGTGTACATGACAGTGTACTACTGGGCCTCGCTTGTCATACGTTGTATGACCCGCCGCGCACGAAGTGCGCGGCTCCCCCTGTATCGTCAGGACGATAAAGGTGAAACGACCGTGGGGGTCGCAACGTGATACAAGGCCTCGCCACGTATCAAATAATGAATTCTGCAATTCCACTTCGATAGATCCAAGATCGCGTTCGCAGATTGGCGAGATGTGCATATGGTACCACTGGGCCACGTTTTTGCTCTATAGCCGGGCTATTCTTGTCATACGTTCTATGACCCGCCTGTATCGTCAGGGCCTACAGTGAAACGACCGTGGGGGTCGCAACAACGCAACGTGATACAAGGTTATTCTACTTGTGAAACAATTGCGCGTCATGCAGTACACGTAGAGTGTAGACTCATATCATGGCTATGTGAAGCATGACACCACGCGTTATATACTGATATCAGTTACTGCATTTACTGGGCGGTGCTCAGCAGCTGTCGTTCCGCCAAATCTCTAAATGTTTATAAACGTAATAGCCTGGGGTCCCGTAGTAATTTTGGATATGATTGGGCTGACCGATTGTAGTTATACAATATTATATAATTCGAACAATTGTTGATTGACGATGTCAACCCATCGAGATCGACGCGTCGAAGCGGCGAAGTCCTCCAAGAACAATTGCAATTGAAACAAATCAAATTGGCGGGCAAACGATCCGTTTCATAATATGTATAAAACAATACCAATCATTAATACACTGTTGTATGTTGTTAATGTTATAGCGCGATGCACATCATGATCAAATAATTCTTCTCGCAAGAGTAGATCGGCGACGCGAAATGCATCACTGTGCACTGGGCCTCACCGAGCTGCGAAGGATTGACATCGTGCTCGTGAACAAGTGCACTGATGATTGGTATTGTTTTATACATATTATGAAACGGATCGTTTGCCCGCCAATTTGATTTGTTTCAATTGTTGGAATTATAATGCTCTTACTTAACTACAGTCGAGCATTTTCTTTGGCGGAAACCAAGCAACAACTATTTATTTATATATATACAATATATCAATATGTATGTGTTTCGCATTTAACGGGTGATACTCGTCAAATATATGTTCCAGATGCGTCCTGGTAGGTTGTAAACCTACAATTTCGCATTTGCATTCGATCAAAAAGTCAAATTCAGACCACGCGCGTATCATTTTACACACTGCACACGTTACGTTTTCTTTTCATTGACGACGCAGATCATTTCCAGCTCGTAGCGGCCAAGTAGTGTATATTAAACTCAATTCAATACAACTCATGCTAGTCAGAATCTGGAATTATATGCATAATGTCGCGCGCTCATGTAGATGCAATGCAAATAATACCTTCTGCTTTCGCTGCGCTGTCAATTTTGCAGTTCTGAGTTCGGTCCGGAATATCCGTGTAATCTGAGCTACGCAATTGCTACGAAGGATTGAAATCTCTCAATTCGTAATTCAAATTTTGCATTATCAGGAACGAAGCGTTTAAAGGATCGGGAGAATATTTTAAGCAAAACCCATACACTGGACACGATCATTGGACAACACTCGAAAAACTCGTTCATGAAGCCGGGCCCCAAGGAAAGCTAAAATACCCTTAGCAGTGATCCTCCAGTAAGGATGAATTAAAGTTTTAGCTAATAGTAATAATAATGCTTATTAGTATTTCATACCATTTACCACCGGTATTTCTCAGTATGGTATTACTATTACAATATTTATAGACTAGACTTCTGTGACAACAATTAAATAAAAGTGCAGTTTTTTACTATTATTATTAGTGATATGATCTAATCTAATTGCTAATTTCATTTGCAATTTTGATGACTAATTTCTATCTTATGTCTTTGCGATATCAATTGTTTTAAATTCAAACTAAAGCAAAAAAATCATTAATCTAACTAAAAATGAATTGAAAGGGAAACCACATTGAACAGAGAGTAATACTGCAACAAATAAAATAAATATCTTAAAAAGTACAAAATAAATATTTATACGTTGCTGCGACAAATTAAACGTTCTACAGCTTGTTTACCAATCATAGAATAATCGTTTTACAGTGACAAAAAGTGTAATTTCGTAATTCATCAAAAGATTGACAAACTATAATTCAAATAGATTTACTTTATAGTTTATATCCATACCATATAAGATTGTAACTGATCCGTATGAATTTTATTGAGAGGATCACTCTCTTGTTGATTTGTGTGCAGTATCAAGTATGCACTAATTTCATATTTGAGTAGTATAAACATCAGGGTGAGGAATTTTACTGTGGTCTACAATTAAAACTGTTTATGGTTACTGCACAGTGCGACAAAAAATGCTGGAAATACGTGAAGAACAGGCAGATGCAGTTCATTATCTTCTTAAAAACATTTCCTTGTGTTCAAGTACAGTCTCGTCAAATTAGTGAAATTATACACTATTTGAAAGTCAAACGATGAAATAAGCTAGCAGGGCGTCCAGAATAAACATATCCGTATACTGACATCTAACTCACAAAACTGGAGCGCACTTCGAATCTTAACATCTTCTGACGGATTTGACAACAGACATCCTCCTGCTTACTGCTTAGCACTCTGTTTCTGTTACACCTCTCACGGATTGAAACTGGCCCATAACTTGGGTCTTGGCCAGAGATCTACTACAGATTTTATTGAACTTTCTTCGTCTTTGCATCGAGTAACATGTAACATGAAGGAAAAGTCTCTGATATGGTCAGATAATCTCCATATCAAAGTTACACGAATAGTAACCAGAGAAATAGTACAGGTAGAGCGAATATGAGTCCTCTGGTGGAGTTAGTTCCGTTCCTTACTCCCCCGGTATCGGAGTAGTGTATTTGGATAGGCAGCAACCCCTTTACTGTGTAGCTGAGAAGAGGGAAAAGGTTGAGAATCAAAGGTTTGTTGGATTTTCTAAGCATGAAACGCAACGAGGGTTGTCAGTAGAAATAGAATCCAAGATCAGTGCGGCTGATCACTAAACATTTAGATATTCATGATCCAGATAATCATGCCATAAGTTAAGTTTTAACGAAATAAGAAAACGAAATAAAACCAAATTTATATTTACCCAGCAGAGTTGCTACCCTCACAACTGTAATTGCCGCTATCTGACTTGACAGCATCAGTTATCATCAGGTTGGAGGTCAGACCATCCTCGGAGGGGAAGAGAACTATCCTACTCGGTATCGACTGAGAATGAGATAATTTGTTTATTATTCAATTGTATCTATTTTTCATCGATATAATGGTGAGACTAAATGGCGGATAAAAATGTCACAGTTATGAAGATTATAGCGTTCTTAGAAACAGTCATAAAAAATAAAGAGACACAGTTGCAGTTGAAGTAAACGAGTTTATTGCCAGAGTTAGTTAGTATAATAGTTAGGATTTAGCACTAGAGTGAGTTTGGTTACCTGAACTATCTGCCCGTCCTTCCTCCAGGTAACCCAGGGAGGCGGTGCACCACTAAACTGGCACTGAACCAACATGTTGTTCTCAAAACTGATCACCGTGTTTATAGGACCTAAGTAAACATTAATGATTACCGTTTATCATCAGATATTTGAAGATATGAATTCAGAACTTTGAAGGGAAATGATTTTCACGTGACCACAAATTAGAGTTCACGTGCCGGTTTTCTGCAACCTTATCATGATACTGATGGCGCAAATTGGTTGTGTTAACACTGAATTTTACCCTCAAAATAATACTAATAGTATTGAATTGAATGAACATTAAACACGGTCGAAATCCTAAAACAAGTGTTCCTGAATTATTAGAAGATCTGACCTGATTCTAGTCGGGGAGGTATAGCCTCAGGGTACACTCTGATAGCCAGGTCCTTGTTGTGTCGACCTAGATAGTTCCTTGCCAAACATCTGGAGGATTACAATGTTAGGTGATATGAGAGCAAGTTTCTGCCCTCATAACATTGTGAAACTAACGAGATTCGCTGATATCTTACTCTTAGTAACAATAATACTAGGTAGATAGTGAAGAAGTAAACTCAACAACAATGCCACCAGAATTAATTCCCTTTTAAACTAGAAGCTAATACCTTAAACTAGAAGCTAATACCTGTAGGTGCCCTCGTGGTGAACATATGAGACGGGTATCTCCAGAACTGATCTCGTGATCACGTAATCATACAACTCCACATCATTCTCTTCTTTAACCACAACACCTGCTGTAGAAGTTGGAGGAGTTTAATATTCAGTTGTAGAAAGAGCAAAAATACTTGGGTCTAGTTGAGATTTCTTATGCATAATTGGTTATAATTCGGGCTAAATGACCAACTAATTCCATGAAATTGATTTAGCGTGTCTTAAAGAAACCCCAATAAAAGTTTCTCAATTAAGTGACCTTTAATATATCTATCAATCAATTTAATAATCCTTGTTATGCTATATTACTGCTTATTAGGAATTCTGTGGCATAATTTTTGCCTTTTCATTCGTCTGCGTGACCCAAAATTGGACCACGTACGTTAATCGTTAAGAAATCTAAAGTGGAACGAGACATTCAACGGGATATTTTCACTACTTTTGTTACCCTCCAAAATCTTAGAAGTGTATATGAAACGTCTACCGTATGACTATTACTAAGCACTTTCTACTGTGACTTGGCTGTGTCTTAGCCGTGTGTTAATTACCCGTCGTCACATCAGAAGTTTCTTAATAAACTGTCGGGACCCTTAAAGGTTTCTTAAATTGGTGCTTCTCAATTCTCAGCTCATCATATCAAGTACTACAACTCCGTGGCATTTCCCTCACTCCCATACGTCTGGAGTGTTAAAACACCTAAGAGTCAACCCACTTGCTCAGTGCTCACTCAACACCCAAACAATGCAGGTTTTTCAGACATATTCAGTTCAGCATATATAACAAACAATTATCAACACTTCTTGTAAACAACAACATACACAACACACATGACGTTAAACCCAGTAATCCTATTAGAGTTTTAGTGTACAGTCGGTGGCGAGAAAAATGGTATTATTTGTTGGAAGGGTATTTTGAAGCACTGCTGTACGCCGCTTTACGACTAGTTATGCCTTCTGTTGAGAGGTGCACTGTTGTCGAAGCAAGTATTTTGCTACTTTTAATCGAATTAGGAAGTATCTCAGATTGTTAGCTGTTAGATTAGAGTATTTAGCTATGCATCCACTTTCAAACTGCTAGTTGGACAGCCTTTTCGATAGCTGTTTTTTCTAACTAAAGTTCTGTGATAAAACAAAAACACACAGTGTTGCTCTCTTGTCTGCACCCCTGCACAAGTGCAGTGTACTTCTGAATTTGTACTTGCTTGTAGTTTGCGGGCCCTCTGTAGTCTGTATAACAGTTTTAAAGCCGACAAGTTTCCTCCTGCCTTTAGAAAATATACCAGAACCAGCCTAGATGTAGTGACGTAAGCCTCATGACGTAAGCCTCATGACTTGCGCCTTGTTTCGGCTTGAACCAGCTTTGCAAACGTACTACCATATATTATGGAATCATTAAAAATGCAAAGAAAACATTTTAAACTGCTTTGTGTTTGCCAGCTACGTTTTCTGATATTTCCTGATTGTTTGGTACTTATTTGACTACATTGTCGGTATGTATTTATTTTGAAATGTGGGGGAAAGTATTTATCTAAACATAGACCGTATGTTCTAGAATCTAGATGCTAGCATTGCAAATTTCCCTTGCATTAAGTACCGCTTGACATTTTCTTCCTCGATTCATATTTAGCTTCAATTGATTCTATCAAACATTTCTATCACTCAGCTTAAAGCACTAGCAGTAGTGTTGTGTGATCTGGCCCCAAAATATGACGCGTTTATTTTGTTGCATTATTGCCGCTCGTTCTTAACCGTATAATAGGTTTGGGTGATTTCAAACAGATTGCACAGAATAAAATGATGTTTTAGCAGCATGGAACGGGTAAAAAGCTTAGTGATAATCTTGATGAAGGAGCGTGATAAAGCGAGAAAAAGAGTAGATGATTTGCACTTAGAACTTAAAATAACCTCAGAGAAAGTCATAACGGTAGGAACATAAAATCATCAAATCGCAGCAGAATACAAAATAAGGTCACTTATCACTATTGATTTTAAATTATAGACATTTGCAGTGCTATACTAGCGTTCGTGCAAAATGCAGTAAAAGTTTAATTTGTAAAATTAATTTGACGACCGGCAGACACAGAAAGATAAGAAGACGTTGGAAGCTAAGATAAGGTTATTGGAGGGCGAGTTAGACAGAACTTATGAGGAAAACATTGGGAGGAAAACAGTTAACATGGACCTCGAGGTAAGGAGTAAGCAACCCCCCCCCACGGGTTTAACAAATTAAGAAATGGGACTAACAGTAGTATAACTACAGTAGTACTACTTGAAGGTTTATGATAATTTATAAGAGTACATGCCTTGAAATTGTAAATTGTTTCAATTACATCATGATATTTCAGTTCGAAGTGGAGAAGGCGGAGAGAGAGAGAAACTCTCAGCAGAACGAGTTATCCTACGTTGAAATGGAAGTGGGAACGAGGGAGGGTAAATTCAACGAGTTGGAAGTGAAGCTGAATGAGGTGGTACAGGCTTGTGTAATGTATGGAGATGGTAATATGTCTAACTTTTGAGAGGTTTGTGGCGTTTGAGTGAAAAACTGAAGTCATGGAATGTTCCAGACTTCAGTAAAAAGAGACCCGAGGAGTAATTTATATTGATTGAAACAGGACTTAAGTCATTAAAGTATTTGTAGATGAAAATTAGATTTGTCAATTCGCTTTTTACATAAAAATTACCAGATGCAGAGATTTTGATGCTCCACTATATTAAAATAAGGGGTAAATTTGTAATGATTTCGAATGTAAAAAATTAAAATGTTATCAGTTGATTTTTATTGTAATAAAGTAATAAAGAATCAGACAAGATAGACGGCGAAAATATTCAGAAAACGAGAATTTAAGTGAAAGTGAAAGTGAAAGTGAAAGTGAAATTGAAAGTGAAAGTGAAAGTTTAAAAGATTGAGAAACTAATGCTCACTTCCGAGATCTTGATCGTTGTCTTTACTCCAGGTAATGTCAAGGTCCTTTGAACCCGCTGCTACACAAGTGATCAGTATCTTATCTCCGGACAGATAATATCCCCTCTCATCAGACGCTTCTAAACTCACGATCTGGGAATAATTGTGATTTCTATATTAAAAAACACAACTTGAAAAGAGTATTAACTATTAGGTAACTTTAACTGGACCAAATAGAATTAAATCTGGAAACTAATTTGATAATATCTCATTCATGCTTCCCATTCTCAACTTATTAACATGCTATAGTTCTGATAAAGTAAACTTGATAATATAACATACAGTCCAGCAACTAACCTTAGCTTTAACAATAACATTGAGGGTCCGAGTAAGATTAGCAGTGTTTAGAGAGTTGCGCGCAACACACGTGTAATCACCGTAATCTAAACCATCTAGGTTATCTATCATGATACTTTGTATATCCATCTGAGATACGTATCTTGTTATTGAATGATGTTAAGTACACACGTATAGTTCGTACAAAATACGTGTTTGGATTTATTAATAATGTTCCGTACTGTTTGATCAAAAGGATCAATTGAAATGGCTCCTAATCTCCTAGTCCTAGTTTTGTAAGTTATCCATCACTCACCATTCTAATCCTATCATCGAACACCAGCGGCATCCCATCCTTAAACCAGGTCACATAAGGGTAAGGGTACCCGGAGGCAGTACACCTGATCCTAATAGACTGTCCACCCTCGTGGATCATGTCCTCCTTGTTTGTAATCGTTATTTTAGGTTCAGACCACACGGACAGGTACGCACTGGACTGTCGAACATACCTGAGGCAGTTACTGTGCAGTATTTATCATTTAGGATATTAACAGTCTGCTGTTGAACTGTTGTTAAGTAAGAATGTTGTTCTAGTAACTAAATATATTCAGAGGATCTATGAAAAGATAAGTGCACCATCACAGTTTATTTCTTTTGTACTACTATTGAATGATAGTGTTCAGATAACCAACCTGTTATCTCCGAACATATACCCAGTAACACACTGGTACATCCCCACATTCACAGCTGATACGTCCCTGAAATTAGTTGTAATAAAACATAATACATATATTTAAATATTAAAACTATATTTACCGTTTAGCTTAATTATAAGGGTCTAGCTTTATGGGTCTAGCTTAATTATAAGACAAATGTTTGCTAATAGTTGGATGATATCCGGTTATTAGTATTATTTAAACAAGTTTTAATACTTTACTTACTTTTTTACCGAAAATTTGCCTACATTCCTAAATTCCTGTTTTATTTGCCCTTGTCTCTTTCAACCGGATATTATCCAACTATCAGTATTTCATCATGAGACTAATAAACGGCGAACTACTCCAGCATTTGAAATGTTTGCTAATTCAGTTTATAAATAAAGAATGTATGTAATATGTCCATTACTCAATACTCAATCCAGGGTTGCCTAGATTTATCAAGATATTTCTTATAGTTGCTGTAAAACCTACACCAACCCAGAGCAGTTGGACCAGAAGTTTTGTACTCACTCAATAACAAGATTGTCACCGTTCATCTGGACAGAAGGACTGAGGTTGACCTGTGTTCCGTCTTTTAGCCAGTCTAAAGACCCCCTGTTCTGTAAACCACAACTCAATACAGCTTGGTCTCCTGGTGGATAATATTATAATTTAGATACAACGATTAATGAAAAGCAGACTTTACTCGTCTACTTTTAGAATAAACGTAGTTTCGCCAAGCATTGAGATTTCTGATTTCCTGTTAGGATTTAAAACTTAAAACCCGATATACCAATACGGAACAGCAGATTACGAGATGAAGTGTGGCAGTTTGTTAAAAACCACCACGTGACCAGTAATTGTGCTGATTTTGTGTTTTACTACGATTGTACGCTCATATTCCCACGGCGGCGCATCTGAAGACTTGCTTTCACCCCGAAAAAGAAACAGGGTACATCGGAGAGGTCTCATACATCGAAAAAGGAGTTACTGTGTGCTGCAAGCCACTCCGACAAGAAGACCTTTTCAATAACAAGTAAGTAAGTAAAACAAGCTTGGTTGTGATTGCATAGTTACCCTGACTGATTGTCTGATCTCTAGGAACAATAGAGAAAGTTGGAGCAGTCACCACTATCACTTTGAAGATGAAGGAAGCACCTATCATGTAATCGTTGTCGTTGAGAGCACTGCACCTGAAACAATTTAAAGTTCTGGTTATCCGTGAAGAAAAGGAGAAGAAAAGTTTCGTAATTATAAATCGTAAATTTTGAAATATTTCGTACCAGGACATATTTTTAAGTTCTAGAAACTCGGACTCACTTGTACTCTCCAGTATCACTCTTCCTAACATTAGTGATGATGTATTTCCTGCCGAAGAAGGGGGAGGAGTTGCGTCCAGAAGTGGCAACAGGGCCAGGGACATTCCATGATATGGTGGGGATAGGGTTACCTTTAGCAACACATCTCAATGTCACCTGACAAGTCATGGGTTTAGGGTCCTTGCATTGTTGTATTAGAAGATGACAAAACAAAAATAGCAAAGAATGGAATGTCGTAAACGAGAAGAAGAGAAAAGAAACAACTCCATTATGTATCTGTCGAAGAGGTATATAAAAACAGGCAACTAACCGTATCTCCAGGACTAGCGTAGACCGAGCTGGCAGCAATAGAGGATATGATGGAGGAGGGGACCGGACCAGGACGTGTTGCTTGCATGTCCTGTAGGGAGTTATGTGAGGGAGAGTTTATCTTGATAAAAGTGAAATGAGAGGGATTATTTTATAACTGGTCGCATTTAAAATGAGATAAATTAATTCTTATCTGGATAGTTTACATTCATAGGTGCAGTCGTCGTTTATATTTCGTTGTTTTTCGCGTGTTTGATAAATGTGACGTTGTTAGAAATCAGTAATTTAATGAGTGATGTTTCACAAATAACGGTACTAACCCTCTGTATGCGTTTAGTGTTGCTAGTAACGGTCTCGTTTGTCACGGTGTTGAGTGCTGAACATTTGTAACTCCCACTGTCCTTATCATCCACAGCTGAATACCCACATGTTAACTATCTTAGGACTTGACACGCAGACAAAATGTCTCAAATAGATAGCTAATAACTGAGAAAACTCATTTGATGTCTCAACTATTCATTGATAAAATATAGCTGATGTCTCAACTACTTACTGAGGAAATAGAGGCTGCCGTCCTGGACCTGGAAGACGTGTCTCTCCAAGAGGGGTCTGTTGTTCTTATACCAGGTGATCAGAGCAGGGGGCTGACTGTCCACAGAGCAGGGCAGGACTAGGGGCCAGCGTGAGTCTGGTAACATTTTCAGAGAACCACTGTCTCCAGAGTACGCTCTGTCAGGGAAAGTGATTGTCATAACTCATGGGAGACGTTATCGTTCTCCATTTAGACTTTTCAGAGTAAGAAATGTGTTGAAATACGTGGCAGATAAATACCTGGCAGAGTCACGAGGCTGGTAGATGAAGGTAGTGTTGAGATATGCCACAGTAACGGTCACGTGTCTGCTGACCAGAGTGCCACTGTATTCTGTGTCTACTTTACACCACCAGGTTCCAGCGTGGCTCTTCTCCGCATGCTGGATCATACACACCTCGCCTGGAGGAGTACTTAGCTAGGTTATAATTATATAGTTAGTTAATTAGTTTACACCGAGTTTGGAAATAATTGACGGTAGGTGAAACAGACCTCTGGTAGGGACTAGTGGTATGAAAATCAGGATTACAACAGCTAATTCGATCTTTTAAAAAGTAATAAAATTAGATTAAGATCAAGTTTGACTGTAAGCAGAATGTGACTGACCGGCACAGTCGACAGTAGTGGACCAGGAGACCTCCCTATCGTTGTTGTACCACGTGATACGAGCCCGTGATCTGGAGTTAACCTGGCAGGTCAGTGTCAGGTACTTGCCCAGTCTTACTGTCGTGTCCTCTGGTTCCTGGATAAACCTGACTCTGTGAGGGAGGGGTGTTAGTGTCCTCTGGTTCCTGGATAAACCTGACTCTGGGGAGGGAGGGTGTTAGTGTCCTCTGGTTCCTGGATAAACCTGATTCTGGGGAGGGAGGGGTGTTAGTGTCCTCTGGTTCCTGGATAAACCTGAATCTGGGGAGGGAGGGTGTTAGTGTCCTCTGGTTCCTGGATAAACCTGACTCTGGGGAGGGAGGGTGTTAGTGTCCTCTGGTTCCTGGATAAACCTGATTCTGGGGAGGGAGGGGTGTTAGTGTCCTCTGGTTCCTGGATAAACCTGACTCTGCGGAAAGGGAGGGGTGTTAGTGTCCTCTGGTTTCTGGATAAACCTGACTCTGGGGAGGGAGGGTGTTAGTGTCCTCTGGTTCCTGGATAAACCTGATTCTGGGGAGGGAGGGGTGTTAGTGTCCTCTGGTTCCTGGATAAACCTGACTCTGCGGAAAGGGAGGGGTGTTAGTGTCCTCTGGTTTCTGGATAAACCTGACTCTGGGGAGGGAGGGTGTTAGTGTCCTCTGGTTCCTGGATAAACCTGATTCTGGGGAGGGAGGGGTGTTAGTGTCCTCTGGTTCCTGGATAAACCTGACTCTGGGGAGGGAGGGGTGTTAGTGTCCTCTGGTTCCTGGATAAACCTGACTCTGGGGAGGGAGGGGTGTTAGTGTCCTCTGGTTCCTGGATAAACCTGACTCTGGGGAGGGAGGTGTGTTAGTGTCCTCTGGTTCCTGGATAAACCTGATTCTGGGGAGGGAGGGGTGTTAGTGTCCTCTGGTTCCTGGATAAACCTGACTCTGGGGAGGGAGGGGTGTTATTGTCCTCTGGTTCCTGGATAAACCTGACTCTGCGGGGAAGGAGGGCCGGAGGGAGGGGTGTTAGCTTGTCAGGGGTAGGGTCCTTTAAGATAGACTGGTTGTTTTGTGACGGGTGATAGGTGGGAAGTGGGGTCGTTACTCGTACATTAGATCTATTTATGGAGATAGAGGTTATAAAGTTACAAACGGGTATTATGATGAATATTTGATTAATTAATTAATTATGCTAATTATCTCACCTCTCGTAAGGTTCAATAAACCAGCCTGGTTGAGGTGTGGTAGAAGACTGTGACCTCTCCTCCTCCCCCATCATACTCGTACCACTTACAAATCCTGGCATCTCACCACCTGAGTTATAGTAGAGAATAAACACAGCTCAGTCGTGTTTCAAGAAGAGGGATAGTAGAACAAGGAAAATAACTATAAAGCTATAATTTGTGTAAAGTTAAAGTGCAACTTACTGGCTCGTATAGCGAAAGAACCCCCAATTTTGATGACGGTGGTACCTTGGAACAGCGCTGCATAGCAAATTGGCGTGGAGGCTGTATAATACAGGAAACCTGGGAATTTTATAATCATACCATTATCTTTCTTACTATTCACTTGTGTAACTAGTTACTTAGTCAACTGCTAGCGGTTTTGATGCATTAAAACTAACAAAAGTACAATTTGACCCAAAAGTGAAAAGTGTACCCAAAACCCTGATTTAAAAGGGCGGAGGTACAATCCCAGGGTAATGAATGAGAACCAACCTGTAATAGTCTCAGCAGAGTAAGTCTCGTGACATCGTCCGTGACACAATACCTCACACGGACTCGTACAGTCAACGTCAAAGTTCTTTGTGAAGTCCTCAAACGTTTGCCGGCAGGGAACCTGGGGTTTGCAGGTTTAGAGAGGAGTTTAGAGAATCGGTTTAGAGACTTTTAGAGAATGTTTGGAGATTCAGTCCGGATACTGGATATGATGAGACACGGGGTAATTTATCTTTGTAATTTACGAAGCATTCAATTATCTCGGCTAATGGGCTTCTTATGCTGAAGTAAATGCGCTGAAATCTCCAAAATGTTATCCTTGTCATCAAAAGGTGCAGATATGAATAATAATTGTCATACTCTGCTCGAAATGAATCCAAATGATTCACCTTGCAAACCAAAAAGAAGCACACTTCAAAATCAAATAAAAAAGATAAGAAAAAATAAAGATGCAAAGAAGTTCAGTTCAAAAATAGTAGAGAGAAATGCACTCGTTCACTAAAATTTAAATTAGATTAATCAAAGTAGGAATAAAAATTCAAGGCAAGTTAACTCAATAAATCTATACTTATTACGTTTATTTCCCTATCAGTGTTGGATTCCTGCCAAGAAAGTTATTTAAAATTATCCAAAAAGGTGTAAACTAAAGAATGAATAAAATCTAAAAACAGCACATATCTATTTTTCATAATTTTGAACACCTGAAGCCAAAGTGCACCCGATTATACCTGAATGAAAGCCTGGGAAAGGGTGGTTGGGAAAAGTAGAACAACCAAAGGGAAGGTTATCAGAGCTCGCCACATCTATCTTTTATCTGAGTCAATATCTCTGTTTATCTGAACCGGTCTGATTCCTCTTCTTCTCTGATCATGTATCTGTGGAACATTTTACTGTATCAGTGTTCATAGGAACAACTGAAGACTTGTCACTGTATGCTTATACTATGCCATCTCAGGGGCCTCAATGGAAAGAGAGGCAATCCCTCGGCAGTCAGCAGTTTCCTCTACACTGCAGATCAGTACATTGTGTACATAAACAATAAACATAGTGTATTGTAAAGGCATATCACTAATATGATAGTATCCATAGGGGATTCATTTCTACGACAAAAGCAAATCAAACGTTAAAAAAATAACACCCGTTCATTGTTCAAGGACAATACGGCTCAGTTAATTTCTCAAGAAAACTCGAAAATTATCCAACCACCCAGCTCTAAACCCCAACTTGGAATTAAGAACGGTAGAAAAACCATCTATTTCAGAAAGAGGAAACGTATGAAGCACCCTGAAAATAGTCTGCGACAAAATGAGCACCGCTCCAAAAATTAAAATAGTTTTTAACGAATTAAAATAGAGTAGTGATTTGAGATTAAGATGGAGACGATTTGATGCAAGCAGAGCTGTAAAACAATTACTGGAGTTAAAGCACCACTGGGATCGACACCAGAAAAACCACGTGGCCTACCACGTGCGTTGTTACGGTAACGCAGAATCGCACCACATGACAACCCACGTGACAGAAAGTGCACAGCGGTAGATAATACTGGTAACGATCGATAGCATGATGGGATATTAATTGGTTTGCAGTAGAGTTTCCTATCGAATTTATGAGAGAAAACCAATGGTTAGCTCGGTAGACTCACACCCTGTTTTCCGTGTATGGAATGTTGCAATCAATCACAGTACCAGTCATTGCTCCCATATCTGGGTATTCGCTCAATTAACCACCTCGATTATTATAATGCTCATAAAAACAAAGGTTTATAATCTGGAATTAGATCTGGCTCCTACATCCCCGGTCCCTCTGACAAGTAGAGCCCAGCCCAGCAGGATCAAGAAGTTAACGGGTGTTATAAGCGGGCATTTGCGGCTTCTAGCTGTCCTCCCCCTCCCGTGACATTTCCACCCGCACCAAGGGCACCCTGCTCCCTTCGGATTGGGTGGTAACGGTCACGTGATGACAGTTCTTAAAGCTGATTGGATGGAGCGTGAAATATCGGCGGATCTGAATTGCACCCGAATCAGTAAGCAATAAATCGGCTGTCTCGAAATCTAGAGAAGTGGCTTAAAGAGCGAAGTTAGTGGATTCAGTGTATTGCGCCGATCAAACGAGGATTGAGGCAATCTCAGACATGAAATTAGCATGGAGTTCGGGGATCCAGGAAAATATAAGTTTGCAGCAGTGTGTCGTATGTTATATCGTATGTTGTATCGACCAATTAGGATCCCAGACGTTTGGTCGGACGGGAACTGGGATATTCCTCCACTGACTCATTTAGAGTTAAAGACGGGTAATAACCTGTACTCTGACGGGAATTCCAGCGGTTGTAGCAAACCAATTAGTATATACTGTTTTCTAAAACGAGCAGTGTCTGTAAAATCGACTTGATTCCTTACTGGCATCCCTTAATCCTTGGAGTTGAGGAATCTTGAAAGCTTGTTAAACGGAGGTTTATAACCGACTGAGCACTAATCCTTGATGTTGATTACTATCATTCTATTGGTTAGAGTGCAGACTGTGGATCAGTACAAGTATTCTATTATAGAGACCGGTAATTCCCTACTAAATATTACCCAACCCATTTTATATTCATAATCGAACCAACTACATGTAAATTTAATTATTGATGGAGTAACTAACTGACCAGACCAATCGATCAAATCTCCGTCGGCGAGTTAACAATGATTAATACACTTAACTATTTGCATATAATCGGGAAAGATTGAACCGCTTAAAATTTGCCGAGATTTAACAAATCCTCTAAGCATCTAGAAAAGTGTTTGGAGAACGAAACATATATAAAACGAGATACGTATTTTCCAGTTTTCTTAAAATGTAAGGATGAAATCGTAAGTTAATGCATTTCTTTGGTCTTTAATTTTCTTAATATTTTAGCATTGTGAGTTTCAGTTGATGGCATAATATATTCAATAGTTAATTTAAGTATAATTTATTAAAAATCAGATGACATACGCGTTAGATAGTGAGCAGATAAGCGAATAAAACTATAAAACAAATGCTCAAGTAACACTATAGCCCTAATAAAATCTACATAGCCATCTTTACTTCCATTAATAAAAGCTGTCAATATTGGACACTACTTAACTGTCATAATACAGTCTTGGCAACAAATCTATTGAATTTATTGAGGTGGTGCGTTATCTGGTGGCTACTATGCAGTTTACACCTGGTACTGGCAGGCAATTACAAAACGGATCACTCTGATCATATCCAGGATATTCCAAGGGGCAATGACGACTAAATAACAAGAACTTTCTTGTCATTTTTCTTATTAAAGTATTAACGTCGGCGAAAGCTTTTACAAATTTTAATGACCTCTAATTACAGCTAATAAGTGACTAGTGACTTAGCGACTAATGACTAGTCTCGACAGGGAGAACACCAATTTTTAGCTTCTTTTATCTAGTTTCAAGTTCAAGAGAATATTTACTGCAGTCTCACTCTCCATTTAATTAATCATGGTATTCTAAACATCTAATCAAAACTTACTCAGTTGTGGACACTGATTTATTAAACATTTTCAGTTCTGTGCCAGATTTCTTCTTTGGCTACCATCCCGTCCATTAGTTTAGAGTGAAAGTGCGTGACCCTTATAGTGATTCTCCTTTCTAATTAAATCAATAAGATTTTTCACGGCACATGCCAGACATCGGTACTAATGGTAGATTTCTGTGGACTGCGGTAGTTTTAGACCAAATAACGTAGCGGTTGCGGTAACTGTTGTGATCGCCTCTCTAAATTTATCGCTGAAATTCGCTTTAACTGCAGTTAACAATATAAATAACTTACTCACTTCAATAAAAAGAGCAGTGTCAAATTGAAAATAAATCGTGGGTGGTTGTAAATGTTTAAGATGTAAAAAAGTACTCTGTTAAAAACGAGGAGAAGATTAAGATAATGGACGCCTCGCGGCCACATGACCCGATTAAAAATATTCGACATTGCACCAAGAATCAATTGTTAAAAACGTAAAAAAGCAGCTGAACGAAGAAGTTATTTGACAGGAAATGACGAATCAGTATATCTCACGAATAAAATCTGTCAAAATCAAAACAGAAATCAAACATCCACTCTTCACACGAAGATAATAACGTACGGGACGATTTGCAGAACCACATGCAGCCATTAACTAATTATGTAATTGTATAATGGGATAATGGGGAAGATGAGCTAACGGGATCTCTTAATTACAGAGACAGGAACAGGGAATATGGTCAAATAGCTGCCTGGTTCCGGGATGGTCACCGAGCTTGGTTCACAAGTGCCAGTCAGGTGACGTGGACATCATTATACGTTTGGAGCTGCACAATTTCAACAGTCAACTTTGAGAGTTTGAGCCTATTTACAATGCTGTAAACGTTTTAGCTGAGACAGAATCGTGTAGAGATGACGCTCGGCCGCCGGAAATCAAGCAGGATTAAGATTTAGATAAGGTTATTTTAATCATACTAATGATCCGGGAAAGACTTTGTTGCGATTAAAATTAAAAAGTGCTTTATACCGAGCATGGCTAAATGTACTCTGTGTAGGTTGGAGTACGCCTAAAACAAGATATAAACGACACAAAACAGAATGTGCCGCCCTAGTGGCCCTTTGTCCAGTAAATTACCTTACAGCAGACCAACCAATCCTACTCCACATAAACCCCCCCAGCCAACGGAATTCCAGTACACAGGGACGACAGCCAATCAGATGACGGTAAATTTGGCGGGTAGCCAATTAAATAAGGTGCAAAGACACGTGGCAGGAAGTCAAATGGTGCATGCAGTAGCGTTAAGTTTTACACTTGTAGTTCCAATTATATTCTTTTTGAAAACTCTATTCACAACGTTGAATAAAGAAATTGAAATTGCAAAAAATAACCAGGCTAGGTCTAAGTATGAAATATTGTATTTTTGGGAAATTGTTTGAAAGTAAATTATCAAAACATGTCAACTTTGGACAGATCTAAGTGAAACTAACCGAATTGATAGGGTAATGTTGACCCCAAGTTTTACTAATAGTGCCTTTTTGTAAAGCATTTCCGGACCCTCCATTCTCCTGACATTGTTAACTGCAGGACACCCTGAAAAAGAGTAGGCCGTTAATCGCACGTGTGCCATTCACTTAACTTTTATTGGTTGTTGTGAGACACGTGATCTAGACACAGCTCTCCGATTGCTGGGTTGGAGAAATATTAGGGCTGGTGTCGTTACCATGGTAACGACATGTCCATGACACATTTGGCAGGCTCGTGTCTGAATGATGACAGAGTGAGTGAGCATGTGCCAAACTTACATTCTTCCTAAACTGACATTCTTCTCAGACTGGAATTGTCCTTAAACTGGAATTGTCCTTAAACTGACATGTACTTTTTTCTTTTTTTGAACTTATTTTTTGAAACTGTCATTAAATCTGTATGGTTGACCTCCAGCTGGCCGTCTTTGAAATTACAGATAATTGACAATATCCAGGGGCTGTAGAAAATTCTGCTCGACAATACCCCGGTGAAATATTTAAATTGGTCCTAAAATGGCTGGTCCAGATCCAGTCTTAACCTTAAATTGGACACAGCTTAGTTCTTAACTTCCGGAGAAAGCTTTGATCAAAGGAAAATCCTGAAAATGTCCAACCGGTAGGGCATTTTCAGATATCAGCTTTTCTTTATCCAAATTTCACTGTTTTTACTGAATTTTTCTTCAATGACCAATTAGTGAGTTCGCTATGGATGGCACAAGACACGATTGGGGTACTGAAGGCTAGATTACGCCCTCGGTGACTTGCCATTAGGATCATTGTGCTAAGAGAATACATACTATAATTTAACTAATACTATTGCAGTTACGCTAACTCTTGCTAAACTTACCAAGC